AAAACCTTGCTCGGTGACTCACTTGTGCCATTTCTGTCAACATCAAAAGCATTTCTTCCTCTTCCGGCCGAAGACTGGCCTGGCATGTTGTGGTTTACCTTGGGTAAGCTGGTATGTTCATGCAAAGGGCAGTAAGCCTGCAAGAAGAAAATACTGTTTTAGGTATATTTAATGGGAGACTTTCTTTTGTGAATGGTGCAATACTCTTACAGGTTTTTGAAAATTTTGAAAAGGTATTAACTGGTGGAAAATGAGAATGCTAAAATGCTTCTGATTTGCTCAAGTCTGATTGAATTTGTGGTTTTTTTTTTCCCATTTTTTAGACTTTATTATTCTCTTTATGCTATTATAATCTGAAAAGTAGACTGCGTATACCTTTAATACTGGTACTGCTTGTGGTCTGTTCCAGTAATATCTTAATCAGAGTTTCTTGAAAGAGGAGTTATTATCTTTAGAAGGATCTCATGGCAGAAACCTTGATTGAATTAATATGTTAAAGCTGTAACAGAGAATGTTAACCCTCTAGGACACTTGTAGAGTTTTTCTTTGCTCTTTTATTACATTTGAATGGATAAACAAATTATACATGCTGTGGATAGACAGGCGAGTGATGCCTGTGTAGCACATGTGATATTGTTAATCCAGATATGGTGAGAGAACACTGTCGGTGCTAGTAAAATTACTCAGAGGTATAGGGCTTCAGGAAGGTGGTCCTGTGAACCACAGTCTCTCTCACAAGGGCTACTGGTCTGAATCTCACAGGTAACTGTAAGCAATGTCTAATGTTATTTTTCTTGTAATTTTGTTTGAGACATAGCTCTCATGAGCGTAGAGCAGGTTTGGCGGGGCGGGGGGGGGAAAAGGTCTCATTTTATGTTCTCAGTGGCAGATATTTGTACTATAATCTCCATCAGCCCAGGGCTCCACAGATTTCTTCAGGAAAAGTGAGCTGGAGAGAGGAATAGATGTGCTTTTTTCCAGGAACACGCAGAATACTTTTTTGCCTGGAGGAACAGGCACCTGAGCAGAGGGACATCCCTTTAGCTGCTGCAGGAGCAGCGAGCTCCTGTGCACACCGGGCGGCAGGCAGAGCTTGGGTGCACCTTGCTCTTCCCCTGTGTTGTGGCACCTGGTGAACAGGGAAAAGAGCATTGCCCCTGCTTTTCTGAAACCAAGGGCTGCAAGCTTACTGGAGCCTTACATGGAACACCAAATAGTGTGGTGAAGGAAACCCCCGACAGAGTTTCGTGTGTAGTTAGCATTTACTGGTGCTTAACTTTTGCTAGGAAGCTCTGTGGAGAAACCACAGATGTTTTTTGTGGTGGAAACTAAGCTCTCCTGTTCTCACAGAAGATCACTTCAGAGCAAGTTTGAGAAAATTGAGAGGGAATATTCATCTTCTGGGCTCTCAGTCTGGCTTGCATGATGGGCACTAGCTTTATTTTTGGTTGCACACAGAAGCCCTAGGGAACTGCAAAGCAGGGTGTGACTCATATGGCAATTGAAAGTTCAGCTAATTTGCTATTAATTTTTATGGGAACTTTATGTGGGAGTGTGGTATAGACAACTGTATCTTTGCAGCGTAGCAAAGCCTGTATTGTATTTCTGGTTATTCTTTGCCTCGCTGCCATTCTCAGAGCATTGAGCTATGATTAATGCTTCATTGCGTTGTTTATATCAATAATTTTGACTCATGTTTCCTCTTTGGTTTGTACTAAATACTTGCTGGTGGAATCAGGACCGCAGTGTCCCAGGATGCGGCTACATCAAACTGCGGTTTGATAATTCCTAAAGTTTTGTTGCTAAATTAGAAACTGAGCTCATCAGGCTTTGAAAATCCTGCCCATCCTTGTTGCGGGTGAGACTTAGCTGCTGCCCGGTGGACGAGGGTAGGTCAGAGGCTTTGGGACACCTGAGGAGCAGCTCCTTTTCCAAGCACAGCACAGGAACAGCACATCTGTGCGCCAGCGCCGCCGGGGCGCCGTCAGGCTCCCCGTTACCTCCAGCGGTTGGAAGGTAGCAGCCGTCGGTGTCCCCCGGTGCTTGGCCTGCGCACCGCGAGTAAGGGGCTTATAAAACTCATTTGGGATCTGCACGGCGTTAACGTGCGAGATTTATTCCTCCCTGAGAATTCATGAGCAGCACTGACAAATTTATTGCGCGCTGCATTTTTGTCATGGTCATAATATAAGATGGCAGGTTTGAAAGGTTTAAGTAAATATCTATATTAAATTTGTTAGTCATATGGCCATGACAGTCCTATTAGTCATTTGCTGCAATTTATTTTTATTGAGCACTTTCCAAAATACCAAGATCTCTGTCTCCCCTGTGTGAAGAATTGGATAAGAAAGCTGTTACAAATAATAATTCGTTCTTTATCAGCATTAACTGCTTTCCATCATCCACTGTAGACATTAGAAGGCTGTCAACTTTAAAACAAAAAAGTCACATAAACATCCAGCCACTAAAGTGCACTGTAATTCTCCAGAAAGATAACCCGAAAGTAGTCTATCTAGCCCTCACAACAAAAATATTTTTCATATGTATTACTGTGTTGACCTGATACAAAATTTTCATTCTTTTAGTCACTATTATATTTTGTTTAAAGTGGCTGAACCCTGTAAATCCTGTGTAACAGGGCTGTAAATCCAGTGTATACTGTAGAGCAGGTGTTCAGGCAGATCCTAAACAAACAGGTCTGCTTTTCTTTGTTTTGTTTTGTTTTCCTTTATTACTATCTCTTATTTTTACAAATCCCTGTACTTTGAAATGATTTCTGTTGTTGTTGTTATTTCATAATTTACTTCTTAGCATCACTGAAATCCGAAGAGGTGGAAACAAGAAACACGTTTTCAAACAAAGGTTGTGAGGGAGGATGAAGAAAAGTTGAAACAATAAAGTCCCTCAAATGTTCTGGTATTGAATACTTTTTTACAACCAGTATCACGTTGGACAAATCTGTCATGCATAAGTGGGTTTAAGTCTTTGCCATTATTATAACATTTGTTATAGAAATATGGTTTTTGAGTTTCAAAAAGGAAGTATTTCTTCAACAACAAAAACTAATGTATGTGGAACAGTTAACTGGATAGGAAAAAGGAAAAAAAGGAAAATCTTTAATCAAATAGATTAGCTGATCTTATATTTTGAAAATATATCAAGTATTTTGTTAAAAAAAGGATGAAAAAACCCTGAATTTTCAGGTAACATTCAAGAATATGCCCAATTGAAAAGAAAAGCTGTTGAATATTATTGTTACTTCAGACATATTACAGACATCTTCGGGTATCCGTCCTTTTCATAATTCCTCAAGGATGACATGAGTCCTGCACCCTTCGGAGTTTGGCCATGACTGAGATAGGCAGGGCTGCCAGTTTTTCCACGTTTTGGTGTGTAAAGCAGAGCTGTTGTTAGGAATCAAAATACTAAATCAGCAGGTTTAGAAAGGTGAAGAATACTGAGCAGCAGTAGATGACAGGAGCTGTTGCTATTAACTCTAGTATGAATCACCTGAGGAACACGGTTACAGGATTTTACAAAATAAGTTGACCCCTTTCTTCAGCATTCACACAGCAGCAACTGAAAGGATTACATAAATCTGTCAAGTGAAGTGTAATTATTGCATATAAATTTAGTTGTTTAAAAGGGTCTGGCTTCCTCTTAATGGCTGTTGCTAGCATTACCCAGCAGCGTACAGACTTATTCAGGGAGAGAGTACTACAGGGGGGAGACCACAGAAACGGAAGGAAGAAAACTTGTGGTGTCCAGCCCTCACAAAAATATAACAGAGTTTTCAGATTTCGGAAGTGTTGTCATGAAGCATATCAGTCTAATCCCAGAGTGTATTTCCAAGCAAGGAGCAAGTATCCGGTGCGGAGGAACATTCGATACGACACAATGCGAGGGAAGCGTGTGTTTGCACACTGTGTGTCCAGTTTTGTTTTTACTTGTTTGGTAATGATTGCTGACATAATGATGCCATTTTCCTTCTGAATAAATTTGACCAGACTTTCTCAAAAGCCCATTATTTCTGAGTTGCCAGGATCACATCTAAGTAAAAGGCTGCTCAGAGTCTGCTCTGGCTACTGAATAGAGGCCGCTCAGGCCTCCTTTCTTTGGGCGCCCATCTTGCAAATGCTTTATAGTGGGTCCTGCACCTATTACTAGTCGGGACTTGGTAAAAATGTGCGTGTCATTGGGACCTAAACTCCTCAGTGACATAAGTGCTTTTGAAATAGAGATTTAAGCTTCAAAGTCATTGAACCGTCTTTGAAAATGTTTCCTTTCTCATGATTCAGTTGAAGAATCTGTGGGACTCGTTGCTACCACTAACCTCAGGTGTTCACATGCTCCGTGTTATCCCATGTTCCTTAGGCACTTATATTTTTCAAAAAATATCTGGAAAAAAATATTTTTTCCGATATTAAAACTCTTCTAGTCCAAGCTGTCTGTTCTACTGTTCTGCAGCTCAGAGGCACAGTTTGTGATCTGAGAGAGGATAAACTGCTGGACTGCAAGAGAGTAGAAAAACGCACAGAGAATTTAAACACTGAACCTTTTTTTGTGTGTGTGTTCTTGAAAGGAGCAGTCTAACTTGTACACTGTAATGAATTTCATTAGCTAGCTCTTAAATAATATCTGTTGGTCCTGTGTGGTGTCAAATATATGGTGTAGCTGTAGCTGCTCTGTGCACTTGTGTCTGGAATTTTTTTATAGATAAACAAGCAATTTAGTGTAAGAAAGACAATAGTGACACTACTTGCAATTGAGACTGGCAGAATTACTTTTCTTCAAGCAAATCATGCTTTTGCAAAGAAAACTGTATAGTTGAAGCTCAGGTGATATTCACAAATTTATTTCCTTCTTTTAATGAATATAATGAATATTGCTTTAATTCTTATTCACATTCATTGTCTTCCGGTTTTTGCAACATGCTTAATTTGTGTTTCATTTTCTCTCTCTCTTTCTCTCTCCTTGTTTCTTTCTCCCCCTTTCAACAGTCCTGGTACCTGGGCTAGCTTGGTTCCTTTTCAAGTATCAAATAGGACACCAATCCTGCCGACAAACGTCCCAAATTATGGTTTGAACATAATCGGAGAGCCTTTCCTTCAAGCAGAAACAAGCAACTGAGGGAAAAAAAAAAAGAAATAAAAGCAAAATTAAAAAAGAAAAAAAGAAAGGAAGAAAAGATGAGAAACGAACCTGAAGAAAGAAGAAAAATAGACCAGCAATTGCAGCACTTACAATCACTAAATCCCTTACGATTGAAACTGTAATGACATACAGAGGGTCGATGATATTTCACTGATGGGTAGAATGCAGCCCCTGCTAAGTAGCCTTTGTTATATGAAGTCTGCTGGGAAATAGATGTTCTGTCTCTGACAATATATTTTAACTGACTTTCTAGATGCCTTAATATTTGCATGATAAGCTAGTTTTATTGGTTTAGTATTCTTGTTGTTTACGCATGGGATCACTATTCCTGGTTATCTCACAAAACAAAGGCTAGGCGGCAGCAACAGAGCTGCAGGAGGACAAGGGCTGTGAGCCAGTCATTTTCTCAGCACTCTGATTTCTAGATGTTTTAAAAATAAGCTCTGTAGCCTTTAGTTATCAGTATGGATTTATTAAACTTTGGCCCTTCACCAAGCCTTTTCTAGTGTGTTACCCAGTTTGAAATTTTCAAAGTCAGTAATGAACACACGGGCTCTATGGAAGAAATGCCTCTACGCAGGTGAAAGTGTTATCTCCTCATGCAACAGTAAAAACAGAAAGAAAGAAAATGAACATTTTCCCCGCTAAAGAAACACTTACAGAGGCAAGTGCAATTGAAAAATCATATCTAAGGGGTCATCATTATAAGTCCTTCAGCCCTTGGACTCTAAATTGAGGGGATTAAAGAAAGAATTTAAAATTACTTTGAACAAATTTATTTTTCCCCTCAGTTTTTGAGGGCATTAAAAGGCATTAAATCAAGACAAATCATGTCATTGAGAAGAAGAAATCATTGGAAACACAGCACTTATGTTGGTTAGCTGCTGCCTCCACAGAGGGGTAGGATTTATTTATTTAAAGTTACTGCTTGCATCAAGAACCCTTAGGGTTTATGTATGGTTTTGTAAAATCTGCATCATAGAGACAAAGAGATAGGCAAATCCATGCCGCTAGGACAAAGCTTACCGTTTACAAACTGGTAATACCAGGATGGGGATACGTTATATTTAAAACAATGCACTCTCAAAGTAGGTCTAATCACAGGGTGCTGAAACATTGCATGGTGCTTTCAGAGATTAGCCTTGTTCCACAAATCTCACACATTGACAGAAATATAATGTGCATGGGTAGACAAATTTTGCCTCTATGTCTCTTTAAAAAAAATAATCGATTAAAATACTCTTTCCAGTAATCCTGATTTGCACGAAGATATAATGTCCACATTACGTGCCTTGCCTTGAAATCAAAAAAATGGAAAAAAAACAAAAAAACAAAAAACACAAAAAAATTGACATCACTACACTTGTTTTGCTGCATTTATTATCATTTTAAATCTTTACCATTTTTATGACAAAATATTTTGTACTCCAGATGGGAAAAAAGTGTGACATCATGGATTTTTTAGACAGTTATACCTTTATCTCACATTTATAAAGCATATCATGGCTGTGTATAGTTGCCGCTTAAAAATTGTAATCGACCAGCAATATTTTCAGTATTTTGGTGTTTTTTCTATTAACCTTTCATGTTTTTCATCTTTCAATTAATATTTGGGGGGGAGGGGGTTCAAATTTATACGAATTATGCAATACCAAGTTTTGCCTATGTAGGTAGTGCTTTTAGCTGTATTGGTTATTATAGGTAAGTATACAGATTTAAAAGAAAAAAAAGAATAATGTATGCTTTTTTTGTTTGTTTTAATTGACCAAAGTGGGTACTGCTATTTTTGCAGTGTGATGAGGTCCTTTTGTGTACTGAGAGATGGACAGGGGATTTTTTTTTATACATATATATATATTCTGGGGTGGGTGGGGAGGATTTTTAACACTTTACAGTGTAGCTGTGAAGCAGTGCACCCTTAGCCAGGCAAGGGCTGCAAAGCGACTGTTCTGCCTACTGTGACAAACTTTCAAATCGGTTCCCTCTTTTTAACTTCCCACCTGGGGTGCAAGCTGAAATCATTTCTGGATTTAAAAAATAAATAATGAATTCTGTTGGAGGCAGACTTGACTTGAGGAAATTGTTTTACTTTAAATTTCTTTTTTTCTAAGAGAGAGAAAAAGAAAGAGAGAGGTCAAGACCCACAGTGAAATGAACACTTTTCCATTCTGGCAAAGATACTGCATCCTAAAGTGTCCATTGCAGGAGATGTTTTTAGCTCAGAATGACAAAGATGTTTGCTTTGTCTAGGAAATGCACATACAGGGCCAAAATCTTTGCTGGCGTAACTCCATTGACTCCAGTTGACTCTGGAGTTGTTCCTGCAGAGAATTTGACTCCCTTCGTCTACATGACTGGTAAATAGCCTTCTTTTTTTTGTCTTCGTCAAACTTTTTTTTTGGTGGGGGGGTTGTTTGCTCACAGCATATGGGTTGCAGCCTTCTGCCTTTCAGTGTCTTTGTAGGCAGCAGGTCAGACAGGGAGCTCCGGACTGCAGTGCGAACGGAGGTTTTGAGCGTGCGGGTTTAGGTTGTGATGTAAATAGAGGTTTATTTCCAGTGCAGTCAGAACTTGCGGATCAGTAGTGAGCCTGTCACTGGAGACCTTTTACACACCAGGGGATCCCCGAGACGCTCAGCTTGGCATAGGGTAGGGTGCTTTTTTCCTTCAGAGCACATCCCTTTTTTGGGGTGTGAGTGAGGGAGGGAGCAGACTGGTGAAAAAGGGGCTCCCTGTGGGATAATCCAGCCCCGGCGGCTGTCCCTACGCTTCAGAGGTTTCCCTGGAGCCTCACACTGCGGGGCGGCCCTGGCTCCGTCTCCGGCCCTGGGACCTCCTGACCGTGGTGGGAGCACCGCCGCACCACAACAGAAGCTGTAGAAAAGAAAATCCTTAAGATTTATATGTAGCTAAATTGCATAAACTAAAAAAAAAAAATCAACTTTATGTTGCTCTTTTTCTGAGCCCCATAGTAAGTGAATTCATTCACTAAGTAAATGGCTGTTGAGAGTAAAGGAGAGGTAGTAGGCCCACCTTGAGGATATCTCAGGCTGTGACCTGGTAAAATGACCAATGTATTGCCCTTTCAGCACATCACTGTTACAGAGCAGTTAGGAAGCGCAGGTGTGTGCTGCGGACAGTCCTTGATTAGTACCATTAGCAAGGTGTCTGCCTAGGCTTTTAGTAGCACGATAGGATGAAACTGAAACAAGTTCAGACTTTGAAGTGCAATAGTCAAAATGAGAATTATCCTTGTAGGAAGATGGGTGGTCTTAGCTGAGCTTTGCTGTTATCTGTGACCTCTCTAATGGAAAAAAATGAGCTTGGGGATGCGATATTTTGAAAAGCAAACTGCTCCCCACGTGAGTGAATTGGTTTGTTAAGCAACTGTGGGTTTTTCCACCTGCCTCTCAAACAGAAGAGCTTGTTTTGAAGAAAACGAACTTTTCATTTCCTGTGTGTGTGCTTTTCTTTTAAGCTTAGAAGTCAAAAGATGGAGAACTCAAATCCAGTCTCTGGCCTCCTCCTTCACCAGGAAGTGTATTCTGACTAAATCAAGCCACCCCGTTCTATGTGCACTGTTCTGCCTTTATTAAGTTGCTTTGCAGCCCCTGGCCTCATGGCTGTGCCACTGAAGTGTGTTTCCCCTGGAGTGACATGAACGTTTGAGGCTTGACTAAGGAAAAAAAAGGCAGTGAAGGAGACTGTACATAAAGACATGGCAAAAATATTAATTATAGCAATATAATTGTGGGGTGATGTTCAGGTGGGCAGCTCCATTGAAAATATGTGAATGAATTTGTGAAGCTGCAAGTAGCGAG